AACAAAATAAAAATTATTTAGTTGAAAAGTTTTTTATTTTTATTTTCAAATTGTAGAACTTAAGCTTATGAAGTGATCTCATTTATAAAAATTTCTCGAGTAATGAGTACATCATTCATGTGTATGGCATAAAACGTTTTCAAATTGGAAGAGTTTTCATGAATTTTATTTTATTTTATTTATTAATAGCAAATGAGTAATACATTGAGATGAAAAGGAAATGCTTTGAGTTCATCATAGTAAACCAACATATTCCAACTAGATTGACACAATGAGGATTACCAAATTGATAGGATATCATAATATACAGAGCAGCTCCTTTACCTGTAACAAACTGATAACTGTATTAGTTAGTAGTTATAACTAACTGTAGTTAGATTGTGTTGAGTTTAGAATTAGTTAGAACTGGAGTTAGATTAGGCGGTTATGCTGGTGTATATAATCTGAGTTGTGTATCATTGTAATATACATCGAAGAAATATGAATAATATTAGATATCATGAAATGCTTCATGAAGATTTTTCATCTCTTGATTATTGTGTGGTATCTTCTTGTATGTGTAATCTAACAGTGGACAATCTTTTTATGATCATTTTCACGATATTTTTTTCATGATACGTAGCATTACTCGATAAATATATTTCTTTTCTCATTCGTTCACTGTAATTCATCATGGTATCAGAGCATGACCTGCTCTAGCGAGCTTCACGAATGTCTTCAATGGCATCACCAACTCTTCCAGCAAATCTTGGTCTCTTGATTTCTAATCTCTCTTCTTTCGTCAATGTAAAGCTTGATTCAACGAATTTCATAATCTGGAAAACTCAGCTACAGAATATACTCAGAGCAACTGATCTTCTTGATATTCTTGATGGATCATCTTCATGTCCTTCTCCTTTTGTTCGTGATTCAACTGGAAAAGAAATACCTAATCCTGAGTTTTCTAAATGGAAGATGATTGATAATCATCTTCTCAGCTGTGTCACTGCTACTCTATCACAGTCTTTTTTCCTTTTTTTGGGTGAATAAAAACATAATTCAGGGATATCTCACAGTCTATTTTCACTTCTGTTCTCTCAAAACAAGCTCTGAGGTATGGCTAACTCTAAATAAGCGATTTACCTCTCTTTCTAGATCTCATATTCACCAATTGAAGAATAAACTAAATTCAATTTCTAAGAAAACTGAGTCTATAGAACTCTACTTGAGTCATATCAAGGAACTGGTTGATCAATTGAATCTTGCCTCAGCTTCTGTTGATGATGAAGATATAGTTCTTATCAGATTGAATGGATTGCCAAGTGAATATGATGCTTTTAAAACTACTATTAGAGCTCGTTCTGAAGGGATTACTACTATGGATGAATTGTCTTCTTTACTTTGTTCTGAAGCTTTACATATTGAAGAGAAACACAAGTCTTCTTCTGAGCTTTCTCTGGCCTATGCTGCTATGAAAGATAATTCTTCTTCAAAAGGTTTTTCTACATATCATCATGGTAGATCTAACTACAGAGGAGATTCTCGAGGTAATTACAGAGGAAATAGGTCTGGTGGTAGATATTCTTCTTGTTCTAGAGGAAGATATCAGTACGAAAATCAAAATCAAAATTGATCTACTTTTGGTTCTGTTTGGCAGATTTGTGGCAAACCAAATCACTCTGTATTTAAGTGTTGGCATCGCATGGATCCTCATTTTCAGCAGTCAACTCAATCTTCTCCACAGCAGTTTCATGCTTCATCCGGTTCTAAAGCTTACACTGCCTCAAGCTCAGATTTCTTATGAATTGGGTTCTTTGCCATTTAATACCTAGTCATTTCTTGATATCCAGATAGTCCATATCAGTGCAAAGGGTAGGGTTTCCCAAAAGATCATTGACACTACTAAATCAATCTACACCATGGAACTAACAATATGGATGCATAAAAAATAAAAAATAAAAGAAAAAAAAAAGTTCGGAAATTTCAAATCACATCCTAGAAAAATAACAGTAGCAATCTAACAAAATCCTTGGACTTTATACTATGCACTCTGATTCTTCATAATCGTAGTGGATTCATTATTCCATGCCAAGCAAATTTGCCAATTATGTTATGAATTTCCCACTTGGCTCCAAAGAATGGATTCTAATTTTGTTAAGATGAATGTTGATGCTGCTGTATAGGGCTGTAGATCCATATTGACCACTCAATTTCTCGTTCAGCATGCTGAAAGTAGAATTAACTATCTCAATCACTCTGCAACCTCTATTAATAAGAAATGAAAATGAGAAAAATTCCCACTAGATTTCTTGTTCTTCTTCACAGGATGGACCATTTGTTGCGTGTATTTTCTACAGGTTCCTTGGTGTCCATAAATTCCGTCCGTGCTGTAGCACAGCTTTCATCTTATGGGTCTAAAGTATGTGAATTGATAACAGAAAAAGGCAATACTAATAGAGAGCAAAGTGATATATCTGGTGAACACTATTTATCAAGAATAATTTCTAAACTAGAAAGGACTGTTGAAGATTATCAAATTTCTTATTTGAGATTGTTTAGGATAATTGTATTGGTGGTGACTCTTGCCGCCAAAATTAAGACTGTAGAACAGAAAAATTAGATAAAAAAACACACACACATAACACACATAAATTTATGTAGTTCACCCCAAAACAAGGGTTACGGCCACAGAGTTACTAAGGTAATCTTCAAAATAATACCATACTCAATCTTACACACCCCAAGTAATTTCTACTACCACATCATATTTACAGACCTCCAAAAAATGTGTTAGACAACATCTCGATTTTACTCTCTTGCAAAGGTAGCTGTTCACCCTTCAATAAATCTTTAACAAATGAGTCTACCCAATAATTGCTGTCGAAAACATGATCACCATCGTCATCTACTGCATGTTGGTAACTTCCAAGACTTGTAGCTATAGTTTCACCCATTGACCAGCCATCAGATGCAGCATCAGGATCTTGCATCCTACATGGTTGATCCAGTTTTGGAAATTTGGCCACATTTTCTAATTCCAATTCCAAGATAGAAGCAACAATTGATCCTGATTTGAATGCACCACTAAAATCAGGATTACCAGAGGGCAGCGACAATGCCAATCTATCTCTGTTTGTCTTGCATTCTTCATTATGGCTTGTTGTATGCTTGCTTTTGTTGTTGATCAGCTGTTCCTGTTGAAGTAGCCATTGTTCATCATCACAGACACTTGGATCAATAATATACTTCAAAGCTTCATCATCCAATGCAGGTCGGTCATTTCCAAGAGTTGTAGCTATGTTTTCACCATCTGGCATCACAGTCGGTTCATCTACTCCTAGAAATTTGGCCAAATTATCTAATTCCAATTTGAAGATGGAGCTATCTTTCTGTTCAATTTCTTTTGGTACTGCTGGTTTGTCCAATGCATCATCATTGAAACCAAAACGAAAACCAGAATTACTAGGTTGATTGCATTCTTCATCAGATCTTCTTGCCCTTTTGTTGTTGTTCAAATACCCATACTTGATCAGCTGATCATCATCACAGACAACCGTTTCAACTCCGTGTTCACTATCATCCCCTGTTGTTGCTCGCTTTGTAACTCGCCTTTTCCTTTGTATAAAACATAGTACATAGTCCTTCAACTGTATTACCAAATGCAAATACAAAAATGTTTAGAAACTGATCCTTTATTATGTAACTATATACTGATAAAACAAAATAAAAATAAAAAAATCAATATTGGTTCAAAGGGAACTAAATATCATTATTAACAAAAGAATTCTCAGATATTATTTTAATTTTTTTTTTTTTTTTTTTTTGTAACTAATTATCATTTTGTCTCTTGGAAATAAACATATGTCAAATCAGAATTAGTTGATAGTTTAGTTATTAAAATTACAATACAAGTGAAACAGTTATGAATATGATGACTTTAAAACATCCATCGATAAACAATTAAGATTTTACAGAACTATATATATCCATGATATATATATGATTTACAGAAAATTGAAAGAGAAATGTTACAATGTGTTCTCTTAAAAAGGTACACATCATAAAATAAAATTAAAAAATCAGAATTTTTATGATTAAAGTTATGAATATTGGTGTGGAAGTTAAGATTTTTATAGTGAAAGTTATTAAAAAAAAGTCATATTTTTTGTAGTGAAATTATGAATATCGAAGTTATAGTATGCACTCTTAAAATTACAATTAGAAAAATTATATTTTTGTGATAGGTAAGTAAGTTAATTTGTTGTGTTAACAAAAATTAGAATTCATTACATCAAGACCCTTTAATTGTTAATAAATATCATAATATTCTTTTATTTATAAACCCATGCGTATTGACCCCTTAATTATAAATATGTATTATTTTTAATTTACCCAAACCACTTTCAAAAGGGGTTATTTGAACAATTTTTATAATTAAGAGATTCATAAATAAAAAAAAATCTTAGTATAATTAACCTAAAAGTTATACTTCTTGTACAAGTTACATGCCATAACGACCTAATATTTCATGTCTTCTCTTGAACAACAACCAAGAAAAAGTCTAAACTCTAAAATAATATTGATTGATTTAGAATAATGGTTCTAGTTTGCCCTAATATTTCATGTCTTCTCTTGAACAACAACAAAGAGACCACCATATACACGTAACTAACACACAACAGTTAATGAAACTGAACAGGAAAACAAAGATTTTTAAAGTAAATACAATCAAATTAATAAGAGTTTGAGAGATCATAAACTTACTTTGAGATCATTAATACGTGCAAGCAAAGCACCATCAAGAGTGTATTCCTTCATGTTCCATGCACCGTGTTCGCCAGACCGTTCTTTGTTCTCGTAATCCAAACTTCGCTTGCCTCCGATAAGTCTTCCATGGTGATCCTCAATAGGCTTCGCCGCATCGATCGCTTTCCACGTACCCATCTTACCCACCGTCCGATCAATTCTCTTCCCCTTTCCAGACTTCTTCTTCAACTGTGTGAACACGTAGAGATTGGTTTTCACAGTGTTGCATCAAGAGTGTATTCCTTCATGTTCCATGCACCGTGTTCGCCCGACCGTTCTTTGTTCTCGTAATCCAAACTTCGCTTGCCTCCGATAAGTCTTCCACGGTGATCCTCAATAGGCTTCGGCGCATCGATCGCTTTCCACGTACCCATCTTACCCACCGTCCGATCCATTCTCTTCCCCTTTCCAGACTTCTTCTTCAACTGTGTGAACACGTAGAGATTGGTTTTCACAGTGTTGAATATGTTGGACATTTGTTTTTCATCATAGACGTCGCATTCGATCACATGTCCTTGTATGGGTAATGGTTGGTTAGTAATCTTGTTTAGCAGATAATACTCAATCAACTCTATATCACTAGGACTAAATTTATATCCGACACCAAGCTCCATTGCCATTGTTACTCAGGTAGAGAGAGAGAGAGAGGAATGATCGTTGTTACAGGTAGAGAGAGAGAGAACATAGACAGACCAAACAGCCATATATACATAGATATGGATATGGGGAAGTGTTTCTGTTTTAGGTGAACTCTCCTCGCCGACTTTGAGATATATTAAAGGATTGTTTGGGATGAACTAAATAAGTGTACTTTTTGTCTTTTTACAAAAAGATGTGCAGAAAAATAGAGAGGTGATGTGATGAAAAAAAGATAAAAAGATGGATTATATTGGAGTTGTCAAACTTGGCCTAAATTACAAATACATATTTGTTTAAAGTATTTGTTCTTATAATTTTGAAAATTATTTTTAATTTCATAATAAATTATTTATTTTATTAATAAATTATCAAATCAATTAACAGTTTTTAATGATATCATAATTATATTTTAATTAATAATTCAAATAATTTTATTATTATATAAGAGAATAGTTATGAATTTTATTTTTTCAATTAATTCTATTAAATAAAAATTTCTAACAATAAAATATTTGTAATTTTTCAAATCATAAAGAGAAATTCATATTTTAAGCAAATCTCATAAAGTGTATTTGTAATTTACCAAAATCTAAAATAAAAAAGGATAAACTACACACACCTCCCTTACTGTTTGCAAAATATATATATATATATAAAATTTGACCTCCATTTTAGTATAACTAAAATAATCAAAATTAATGTAGATAATAAGCCGACACTAAAATAAATAAAGACAAATATATATTTTGAGAAAAAAATTTCAATGGGATGACCTTTGTCTTAAAACTAATTTTCCTCTTTTTTATAATCTTTCAACTGACAAGGAAGGCTCTCTCCACCAATTCTTTGCTAGGAATATCAGCTCAAGTGTTTGGAACTTTCCTCATAGCAGGGGATTGTATGCTTGGGAATTGGTTGAAGAAGCTAGATTGATTGTTGTCTTATCCTCAGCCCCTCCCCTGAGTATTGAAAGTGCAGACTACCATATCTGGACTAGTGCTTCAACAGGTCATGGTGAGTTCTCTATGTCTACTCTTTACTCTCTTAGTGGCACTCTTCTTGGCCCTCATCTCAAAATCTGTAAACATGTTTGGAGTAATGCATTACTCCCCAAAGGTTCCTTTTTTTGTTAGTTGGCCTGGAAAAACAGAATTAAATCTTTAGAGTTTTTTGCACAGAATTGGCATTCTTGGTAGCAGTGTTTCGACCCCTTGTTCTTTCAGTAGCTCTAAATCTGAACCTGCTGCTCATGTCTTGCTCCATTGCCCTTTCTCTTGCTTGATTTGGTCTGCAATGATTCATGATTGGGGGTTTCATTGGTGCATACAAGAATTAGTAGATGTTCCTCTCAATTGGTGGATGGGTGGAAAATTCAATAATCTTGACAAGTTAATTTGGAGAGCTATTCCCTTAGTTGTCCTTTTGGTCTTTTTGGAAGCATAGGAATGAATGGGTCTTTTCTGAGGCTCAACCCAATTTCTCTGCTTTGAGTGAACTCATCAAAATCAAAGCAGCTCTTTGGCTCAAAGCATCCATTAAAGATTTCCTCTACTTAGTTGATGAACTAGTCTTCAAGTGCAGACAAAACAAGGGTAGTGTTTGACTCTTCAGCTGGGCTTTGTTCCCCTTTCTTCTCTTTTCTTTGGTTGGTTCCTTATCAACCATGGGGTGCTTGCATTTGTTTGAACTTCTCTCTCTGGTGCCATTTTTTTGGGACTAGTTTGAGAGTTCTTTTGCTCTTTGCGGCTGCCTCTTCTTTATTGATTGTATCTTTGTTCTCTTTTTGTTTTTTCAATCAATAAAGTTTTTTTTATCGATCAAAAAGTAATAAAAATATGCAACCCTACCACAAAATTATATAAGTTTCATGAACTTACATGAATAATCTCATAAAACTGTGTAAGTTAAATATAAATTTATGTAAGTCTAGTGTTTTCACGAACTTATATGAATTTATGTTCAATTTACACATTTTTATGAAATCACTTACGTAAATTTATAAAAACTTATGTAATTTTACAATAAGATTTACGGCGTGCATTTATTGTATGTCATTGATGTGGTACCGTAAAAAGTCATTTTTGTATATATTTTAATAGAAAATAGATGACAATAACATCATTTTTTTTATTCATATAATGAATTAATCAAAAATGACTTACCTATTTTGTAAATTAAGACCTCAAGGGAGATCATCATAATTATAATAAAAGTATGGAATGAATTGTATTTTTTCTAATCCATAATGTAATATACCCAATCAAAATAAACACTATTTTTTTAATATATATATATATATGGTCCACCATCGGTAAATTATCATTTACCCAGTTCATTTTGTTGGGCCTTATTCATAAATTTTGTACAACAAAAATTAAATTAATTTGTTTATGATTTTATTAGATTATATTTGAAATTATACTTATCTTTTTTTATTTTTCTTTTTTAAACAAAATAATAAAATAATGTAGTTCTTATTATCAAAACAATATTTTATTTCAAAAATGATCTGTACATAAAATCTTATAAAATAAGCAATTTAAATTATTGAAATATGACCTATAGTGATTTCCACAACCCCAACAAAAACCTCCGGTCCATTGTCGACTAGTGATAATCTAGATTGAGATCCTAACCATTATTATATGGTTGTAATAGAAGATTTTCATTACATTATTTAAGGATTTGTAAGAATTTTTTTTAAAAATTTATCACTATTTTAAATTTAGAAAAAAAAATCCTTACAAACTCTTGAATAATGTAATAAAAATCGTTCATTATAATTTTAAAATGCAAAAGATTACAATCTAGATAGTCCTATCCCCTATATGTATATATATATATATATGTATATATATAATACCACATTTGCGGGATGCTCTTACTTTCTATCTTTTTTTTGTTTGTTTAATATTTAAATTACGAGATCTTCTAAGAACCAAATATAAAAACCATAAAGAACACACAATATGAAATCAAAAGTGAAGATTCATTGGTGGTTTGGTCTCATTATAACAACTTTAATTATACACCATTACCATTGATTTGATATTCTGGGATAGTTTCTTGTAGTCCATAGACTTTCCCTTAAATTACCCTCGACATTTAATAACTCTCAAACAATTTTTATTTTTTTTATTCATCAAACCTTTGAAAATTGTTAATTATTTTTTCTCATTCATCAAATCGCTTAAAAATTTAAATAGAAAATTACAAATTATTACATTTGTAACCACCACTAATATATTGTAAATCCTAAATCACACGAACATTACAAATAAACGAATAATGAGCATTAAAACAAGAAAAAATATACATAACTAGATTTTTTGTTAAGAATTTTACCTACAAAGGTAAAGAGCGTTTGAAAATTAATTGATATATTGTAAGGCTCGTACATAAAATGAATAATCATTCATTAATATTTCTTACAAAATAAAAAATAAAAAATTGAATAAAAAATTTGTGTGTAAAATATTATAATTAAAACAAAGTTTTACCGTGCTAAACATCTAAATTTACAATGGGCTATATATAACAGTGTAAAATTTACTCATGTGATTGGTTTACGGTGAATTGCCAAATAAGTCAGGTTCATTAATTAAGATCTTTATTAATTTCTTATCATAAATTTATTTTGTTTTCTGAATGAACTAATGAGAGAGTAGGATCTTGGATAACACAATAATTTCAATGCCTACAAAATTAAAGGGAAAAAAAAAAGTAGTGGAATATATCAGTGACAACAAAGTCATATATTACGTCATTTAAACCCTATTGAAGTGTGAAAGAAAGATTCCAATAAAATCTTAATGTAAGTTCAAAAAATAAAATAAAATCTTAATGCTCCCACCCTATATCCAAGTGTGGAAGAAAGATTCTAATAAAATCTTTGATGCTCCCACCATATGACGAGATCATTTTATTTGCTATTTGTTGGAATTTACGTAACAAAAAAGTTAGGGTTTCAAAATTTGAGATTCAAAAATTGGTACGTATGGTAGACATTGAATTGATAAAATATGAGGTCTTCATATGAAATGAATCTGAGATATTGATGTGAAAATTTTAAATAATTTCTAAATTTTTATATCCAAGTCCTTGGCATTACTATTTACTTAAAGGTGATTGTGAGCCTTGATATCTTATTTATAATAATTTGTAAACTTATTAGTGATAGTAGAATGATGCCTCGATCCTATTAACGTGTTGGGAAAATTCTTATACTTTTTTCTTCTTGTGTAATTAGAAAATTAGCAACCAACCACAAACTTAAAGCAATAATATGATTGAAAAATTAAAGGCACAAAAACAATCACAAAATATCAAATTTACGTGATTCGGCAAAAAATGCCTACATCCGCAGGTCCAACTCCAAGTCAATTTTCACTATAAAATAATGGGGTTACAATGGTTTATTTTTAGTCATAACTAAAAGTATACAATCATCAAGATATATTCTTGGATCACCAACAACACTTTTATCATCACTATAAATGTGGGTTTCAATAACATCAACAAAAGATAAGATTTAGGTATAGCGATCCCAGTCTTTTCCCATTTGGTTGTTGTATCCGGACTTAAGTTCCGTGGAATTGGTTATTTTATATATCTTGTTGTCATCCTTTAATTCCATATATTTAAATCTTAGGATGTGTTGGGCATGTTTCGAACATGTGGGTTGAGTTTTGGTCTCAAATATTATTGCCCAAGTTTTTAGTGATCCACTCGAGCGGGTCCCTTCACGCTCGAGCGGAGTTTGCACACTTTTAGTATCTTATGCGTCTACAAAACTACTGCAGATGTGTTTTTCACGCTCGAGCGGGTCGAGCTCTAGCGGGTATCCTTGCGCTCGAACAGATGTTCATTGTCTGTAAAAGTCCTGGAAGATGGTAATCTACGCTCGAGCGAGCTTTCCTTTGCGCTCGAGCGGGTGTATTTTGCTTTTGTGTCTTGGCACTCGAGCGGGTCATTTTTACGC